TTAGGAACAGCCGTGGAACATTCTTGCTTAGCTTGCAGATCTGAGCGGGGCGGCCCTTCGCTGGGGCCTCAGAAGGCAAACAGATGTACAAAAGGGGGGTTATCACACAAACACACAGCAATCAGCAAACCCCAACTCCGGGTCCTGGAGGGCCGAGGTCACGCCTGGTTAAGCACCAAGTTGTGGACCGTTCAGTGGCAGCTGGGGGTGGCGGGGCGGGGGATGACGTTCACCGGATTGAGCCCTGTTCTCTGGACATGGGGCAGCGTGACGGCGCAGGGCAAGATGCTTCCACACGGGTTCCGGTGACCCGCTGGGCTGACCAGGAGTGAGTTTCCAAGCCCAGTGGCCTCATGGCCAACACCAGGAAGAAGGCATAATAGACCTTCCAGGATCCCGGCGAGGCTTCACGGACAAATGCGTACAAAAGCGACGTGTGTGCGCAGAGGTTCCATTTAAATATCAGGCGGTGTTTGCCTTGGAAGCTCTTCTTGGAGTCAGAAGAAAGCGAGCTCTTTCTCCACCTAGCAGCACAAACAAACAGCCAGGCATCCCTGCCGGTGCCGGGAGGCTAGAGCGAAGTCTCTTGGCGCAGACTCGGGGTTGTTTGCTTCCCGGCCTCCCCTCTGCTCCTGCCAGGCCAGCTGTGGAGCCGCACAGCCACCGGGAGACAGGGGGACATCCCGAGCTTGCACCCCAGTTCCTCTGGACACCTCTCTCTGCTCCACAATCCAGTAGCCACCTCTTGGCAGAAAGGGCCAGGGCAGTGGAGTTCTTGGAGAGCTTTCTGAACCGGAAAGCGTGTAAATCTCTCTACCCTTAGTGCTCCAGGGAGCAATGTGAACATCGAAGGAAGATTCTATTCTTGCATTTTTTTATGGGAGCCAGGGAAGGTGCCCCCAGTGGTGTTCAGGGGCTACTCTGTGCTCAGCTAAGCCCATGGCACCAGGGGTCAGACCCAGGCCTCCTGCTTGCAAAGCTTGAGCTCAGTTGTTGAGCCATCTGTACAGCCGGGACAATCATTTTCCCAGCTCCAGTGTAGTTTTTTTTTTCTAGGAATGACCCCCCTGCCCCCTCTTCACTGACTTGCCAAGTCTGTTCCTATGTGACATTCAGTAGAAAGGTGATTGGGTCGAACCAATCTGGGATGCTTTGAAAAACACCCATCGACGGAACTAGTATACCTAGTTTCCCAGGGGCTTATCCCTATGGCAGCAGAGGGGCCGGAACTGGATAAAGAAATTGCGTTTGAGTCGGGAGTCCCAGAGGTGGGCAGGGCAGAAGGAGAGACCAAGAAAGGAGGGGTTTAGCAGTGGCAGGAGAAAGAAGGGTGCTCTGGAGAGTACCTCCGGGAAGGCAAGGCAGCTGCTGGTCAGAAGCAGATGCCAGGTGGTGCAGATTATAGATGTCCCCTTCCCTTTGGGGGGTGCTTGCCACAGTCCACGGTCACACACTTGAGTGCTGTGATCCTCACCAGGGGTCACACACTTTTTTTTCCTTTTTTTATAAATTTATTTATTGAATCACCGTGAGAGCAGTTACAAAGCTTTCGGTTTTAAGTCTCGGTCATACAATGATGAAACACCCATCCCTTCACCAGTTCCCATTTTCCACCACCAAAAAAACCCAGTATACCCCCCATCCCACACCCTCCCCCTACCTGTGGGGCATATGATTTCCACATTACTCTCTCTCTGTACTTTGATTACATTCAATATTTTGACACTAGACAGGGGTCACACACTTAGCTGGGGGGTTTGCACACCCTTGATTGCATGATAGATTTCACCCTTGATCGTGATGGGGATGGGACAGGGCTGTCTAACTCAAGGCCTTATATCTGCAAGGAACCATCATCCATTGGACCCTCGGCTAGTTTAAAGTCCTGCCTATAATACAGTTGGCCATTGAGAAAGGCCTCCGGACCCTCGATGCAAAAAGGCGAAAAAGACCTTGCCCCCCCTGTCAGAGGGAGCTCCCTAAGCATTTTATAAATAGAGCCTGACGAGTGTTTGCTTGTGGCCACACTGGCATGGCCAGTCCCTGCCCCTTCCGGATACCTGGTGACCTGTGGGCCAGTTGACAGGAAAACTCACTTGGGCCTTGGAAACTTTTCTTCACCCTGAGAATGCCTGGCGTTATTCTCATGCAAAAGGGAACATTTGAGAAAGTCCTCGGGGTGCAGCCTGGAAACCACAGGCTGCTCCCCAAAAGGGTGTCGGGTTCGCCTTCTGGAGGCTCAGAACCGGCGCCAGCTGGCAGGGGCGCCCTCCTCTACGTGCTGCTGCAGGAACAAACTCAGGGGGCAACGCACCGGGGAGCTGGGCGTTTGGCTCTGTGCTCTGCGGCGGGCAGGGCTGCCTGCCTCCTGCGTCCCATTTCAAAGGCCGGTTAATAAGCGCTTGCCGGGAGCCCTGGAGGAGCCCTGGAAGAGGCCGGGCTGGCAGGAGACTGGGCGTGAGCAAAATCACCAGGGAGGAAACCTCGGCCCCTCCTTGGGGTGGGGCAGGATGGCTGAGGACGAAGCGGGAGTGGGGGCAGCTGGTTCGGGAGATGTGGCAATAAGGCTGTCCAGCACAAGGAAGAGCCAGTCGGGCTTGTCACGGGAGTGCCAGGGCGCCCCTTTTCTACAGAGTCCTGTGGGCCAGCCTCAGCCTCTCTGTGCCTGGACGCATCGCCTTGGGCTGTGCTGAGAAAGCTCAGGTGCCTGCCCGACTCGCGTACTTCCGGCCCTTACTGTTCATTGACCAGTGAAGGCTGGCACTGGGGCCCAGGGAACCTCAGTGCCCCCCTGACCACCTGCCCTGGGATAGAGTGAGAGCGGCTGGATGGGGAACTTTGTGACCCAGTGCTAAACCTACAGGCGCTACAGCTAATCAGATCATTAGAAGCAACCGTCTGGGGCTGGATCTAGCTGGATCTATGGTCCCGGGGGCTGGGGGAGTGGGGTGGAGAGCACAGTCCTAGGAGTTTCAAGACCCTGCTGTCTTTTTGTTTTGTTTTGTTTTGGTTTGGTTTGGTTTTTGGTTTTTGTTTTGTTTTTTGTTTGTTTGTTTGTTTGTTTCTGACCCTGCTATCTCGAACATGGGCTGGAGCGATAGCACAGTGTGCAGGGCATTTGCCTTGCATGCAGCCAAATGGCCGACCCAAGTTCGATTCCTCCACCCCTCTCGGAGAGCCAGCAAGCTACCAAGAGTATCTCGCCCGCACGACAAAGCCTGGCAAGCTGTCCATGATGTATTCAATATGCCAAACACAGTAACAAGTCTCACAATGTTACTGGGTCCGCTCGAGCAAATCGATGAACAATGGGAGGACAGTGACAGTGATCTTGAACATTGCCGGGAGTGGCCTGGGTCCCCCAGCACTCCTGGCTATGACCCCTGTTTTTTTTGTTTGGTTGGTTTTTTTATTTGTTTGTTTTTCTTTTGGGGGTCACACCCAGCAATGCACAAGGGTGACTTCTAGCTCTGCACTCAGGAATTACTCCTGGCAGTGCTCAGGGGACCATATGAGATGCTGGGGATCCAACCCGGCTCAGCCACATGTAAGGCAAACACCCTACCCGGTGTACTATAGCTCCAGCCCCCTGTTTTTGTTTTCTTTTTTTTTTTTTAACCTAAAACGTGGTATCTCTATATCACAGCTGAGAAAAAGTAGGTTTTCTAATCTGCCACATTGGTCCCCTCCCAGGAAGAGATACTGTGGGGTACAGGGCTTGCAGAGTTCTCTTGGCTGATCACACTGGCTGGCACAAAGGTTCTGCATCCGCTTAAAAGTACAGGTTCCCCTGGACCTTGGACCCAGGCTGCCTTTGGCCCATGTCCTGGAACTTGGCCATCAGGGACTTCCTCAATCTAAAGGAGCACCGGGTGGCCACATGGTCACACCAGGAGCCTTTTGGTGGTTGGTGTCTTGGTACCATGGTCTGCCTGGAGCAGGGATGAGTCAGCCTGGTGCCCCCAAACTTGCTGAGAACCTTACCAAGCACCAGCAAAGCATACACCTACATCCACTTGGGCCCGTGAGTCCTGGGTGTGCCACATGGCTGCCTGGCCTACCAGCTCCATGCTCCTGGTTGCCACCATGCCAAGAGAGGCTTCAGCCAATCCATGGGCTATACATTCCCCCCAGCTTGTCATCCCCTGGGAATAGTGCCCCTGGACAATGGAGGGGTCAAAGGTCAAGGTGCTGGAAGCTTCCACAGGGAGGCTGGAGAGAGAAAGATGGGGCCAGCGCAAACCCAAGGACAGAGCAGAGAGAAGCATCAACCCATGAACATGGTCGGGAGGACAACAGGATTAGCAGGTGGCAGTCAGATCAAGGTCAAAAGAGAACAATCCAGTTGTATTAAATGTCGCTCGTTTTCGTTGAATGCGCGTCGCCCAGTTTTGCTGAGGATCTATCATTGGGTCTTTTAGCTCAAAGGGCCCCACTTTTTCTTGAATAAAGGCTTCCTTATCTACCCAGCTAACTTTCCCCAAATGATTGCAGAGCTTGATAGCACCTAAAAATGCACCCTTTGTACAAAGTTCTCCAGAGGCACTCCCTTTGCCAGTTTGTGCTGCCAGCCCTGTCCCCGTGTAATAGTTGGGTAAGAGAGCCAAAACCGAAATCAAATCAAACCTTCTATTAAGGGACTGAGCAGCAGCGTGCCCAGGAACGGGCCTCTGGGGTACATGCTCGTGTGCGCCGGAAGCCGCCGCGCCCCAGCAAGTGTTGCTGTATGAGTTTCCTCTTGGCAGATCCGAAAAAAAGGGCTGCTTTTATGCTTGCATGTTCGGGGGTGAGGGCTTCACCCTTGGGACTGGGTCTCTGCCAGCCCGAGACTCAGAAAGGTACCTCGAGGAAGAAGCTGAGGCCAGCCCTTCCTCTGCAGATGCTGTGATGGCTGGGGATGGCCAGTCTTGTCCCCTTTCCCCCAAGAGTCACCCCAGATTGGTCAGTGTCTGGGTTGACCCTCTTATGGTCCCATTCACCTTACACAAACTCCCTTGCAGATTTCAGGTGAAAGAAACCCAAGATGTCGAGCAAAACAGCAAGCACCAACAACATCGCCCAGGCCAGGAGAACTGTGCAGCAACTGAGGCTAGAAGCTTCCATTGAACGGATAAAGGTGAGAAGCCCAGATGGAACCGGAAGTGCTTGGCTGCCCCTTCTCCCTGCTCACCAGAGCCTCGGCCACACACGTCAGTACCAGCCGGCAGTGCCAGGGACTTGAGCCTGGCACCGGCCGGCTGGCAGACCTGCGGCTCTCCTGCATGGGCCTCGTTTCAGAAGCCCTGGAGAGCCGACGTGTCTGTGTTGGCCTCTGATCGGACAGAAACCCTTAAATCCTAGACAGGATTTCCTGAGGACCTGTCTTCCCCGGGGAGCACGCCGATCCTGTGATGTCTTTCTTCCCCTCTGGGGTTCCCGGTGGACCTCATAAACATCCTCGTCATCCCTCTGGAATTTAGGAAGTGTTCTAGAGTTATCTGGGCCACCAAGGCAGCGGCCGGCCAGGGTCTTCCTTTCTGGGAGCGTGCCACCTTCTCCGTGGATGGGTTTCCAGAACCTCACGCTGCATCCGGGGCATGCAGGGCCAGGTTGCCTTGAGGCTGGGAAGAAACCGGAAGGCAGTTGTTTGGTCTCCGGCCTGTGAGCTCTTCCTCCACCAAGTCCCAAGAGGGGACTGACGGTGAGGGCCCTGGAATGCCCGTGAGTCATGCTGTTTCCTAGAAACGGAAGCAGTCACCTGATAAGTCCTTCCCGGCCTCGAGATGGTCACCATCTCCAAGCATGAGGCTGCCCCTGCTGTCGGCTCTTAGCTGCCCCGGGTGCCTCACCCGATGATACCCATCACTTTTTACCCAGGGCTCTCCCCCACCCCAGCTTCAGAGCAAGGTTCAGCATGTACCATTTCAGACTCTGCATTTCCCTAGGCTCATGGTATTCCTCTTTAATTTCCCAAGCACAGTCATTAGCAAGATCGATGGTCAGTCATGGTACAGCCAGATCCAAGTGTTCCTGTAAATCTTCACGCGGTAGTAGCACCTGGCTCTGTTCTCTCAAGAGTTTAAGGCTCCAGGGCTCCAACTTATTTCTTTAACTCTCTTTCTCTCTCTCTGCATTCCAATCAATTTTTCACTGGAAAGCAACCAAGGTGTAACCTTCCCTTGATCCACATACACTTTTCCTCCGCCCCACACCCACTGATTTAGAGAAATTTCGAAACCCAGGGAGCGTTGTAATAATAAACACATCCCCTTTGTGGAAAGAGCCATTGTTGTTCACGCCCCTGCACATTTGCACTCCCTCCGTCTGTATACACACAAAACATGATTTTTCTTTGTAGGCACCGCAACTTTCTACCGCAAAATATTTCACCATCTGTTTCCTAAATACAAGGGCATTCTTCCACATAACCAGAACACGTTATAACATTCAGGATCACTGGGGTCTTCTTGCACACATTGACACCGTGTTTGAAGAAGCCCGGCACCCGTTTGGCAGGATGGCCCTTGCTTTGGATGCAGTTAGTTGGTGGTTGATGATTAGAGTCTGGCTAGGTGCTTCTGAGGAATGCTAGCTCACTGGGGACATGTCCTTGGTGCTTGCCCCGGGAAACTCACCATATCCACTTGGCTGATCACCTTTAAGGTAAAGGAAGGCCTCACCCAGAGTTCTCCCTTTCAAAGTACCTTTTTTTTTTTAATCCTTCTATCTTTGACTTTTATTTTTTTTAATTTTATTGAATCACCGTGAGATAGTTACAAGCTTTCATGTTTGGGTTACAATCACACAATGATCAAACACCCATCCCTCCACCAGTGCACATTCCCCACCACCAATATCCCCAGTATAACCCCCCTTTCCCACCCTCCCCCTGCCTCCATGGCAGACAATATTCCCAATACTCTCTCTCTCCTTTTGGGCATTATGGTTGTACCTTTGAGGGGTCAGAGAGTTGGTACCGGAAGTCAGGTGCTCACCTTGTATGTGGCCAATCCCTAGCATCAGGTATGCTGACCTCCCTGCATACAAAGCAAACTAGAGTCACTCATGGGCCCTTAGGAAGAGTCTCTAAGCACCAGTGGGCGTGGCACATCCTCCAAATCTGTGTGTGTGCATGCACATGTGCATGTATGCATATGTGTGTGTGTGTGTGTGTGTGTGTGTGTGTGTGTGTTTCTATATCAACTACCTTTTCCCTTTGTAAGTCCGAAGAAACCTGGGAGTGATCCTTAGTGACTCCAACCCCCCCATTTTCCACTGGGCAACCATTGAGACACACTTGAATCTCACAAATAAAGGATTTTCTCTCATTTGTTTTGTCTGCACGTCAGGTCTCAAAGGCATCTGCGGACCTCATGTCCTACTGTGAGGAGCATGCCAGGAGCGACCCTCTGCTGGTAGGGATCCCCACCTCAGAAAACCCATTCAAGGATAAAAAAACTTGCATCATCTTATAGAGGAAGAGGAAGCCAGTTCCTCGTCTCTTCTCCACGAAGCCGATTCTGAGCAGCTCCTTGAAGAGACCCCCTCCTTCGCTTCTTTGGTAACCACTCTGGTCACTAACATGCTCTTACCTTGGCCTCATGGACTCTCAAGTCTTATTTGCCCAAGCTGCCCCTCCTCCCAAACCCCCCTCTCCTGATTGAATACAGAATAACAATCTTGTTCTCCATCTAGAAACTACGGTGTCATATGGGGTTACTGCTTAAGAAGAGTTGGTCTGGGTTTTAAACACACACACACACACACACACACACACAGAGTTATATTCTCTCAATCGCAATATGAATGATCTGGTTGTGTAAAGACCTAAATTACCTACGCACCTGTCTGGTTTAACACGTGAAGAACCTAGGTCCTAAACCTTTATAGCATCATGTGTTCTAAATAAGGTAGTTGTGCCTGCCAGAATAGGCCACTTTGGGAATGGGTGATGAGAGTTTGGTGTGTATTGAGATATATATACAGATATATATATGTGTGTATATATATATATATATATATATATATATATATATATATCGGTGTCTTCCTATCCACAGAGTGAATCCTGCTTTCTGATAAAAACTTCTCTCTATCTATATACCATCAGGGCCTCATCCTCACAAGTTAGACCTGAGCTGTGTGTAAATAGAACAACAAATGCTCTTCATACGGGACCAGGATGTGGCACAGTGATAGAATGTATATGCCCCATGGTGGGAGGGAAGTTAAGCGTGGACCTGGATTCAACCCCACTCTCCCTTCCTCCCCCCACCCCACCCCCCACGCACATACAAAGCAAAATTTTCTTTTCATGTAGTCGTGGTACAAAAACTCACTGTTTCATGTAACCAAGAAATGAAGTCATCTCTCCTCTCTTGAAATCCTGCTGACCTCTCGGATGACAGTTAACAGTGCCAATTCCCATCCAAGAGCCCAACTAGAAAGGCCTTTAGAGTACGAAGTATTAGTTCACTTTTGCCGTGGGACTCTAAGGTGTCGATCCTGGGTGGCTGTGCCCCCAGCTCTGCTGTGTGGATTGGGGTAGACACCTCTGATCATTGTACCCTGAGGATGGGGACAAAGTGCCATACTGGAGGTGTCACAATGAAGAAGGTACACCAGTGTGGGAAGCCCAGGCCAATTTGGTCTGGTTTGGCCTGACTTGGTGACTTAACATGTGCTCCTTCTCACTTCTGCCTTTCTCTGACCCTCTCTCTGCTGCTAGAACACGTATTTTCAAAGGAAATGTGCACCAGCCCCAGGGGTAGACTATGGTAAGAAAGAAACACAACACGCGCGCGCATGCACACACACACACACATGCACACACACACACACACACACACAGAGGCATCAAGACACAGAGCACTTTTCAAGTCACTGTAAGCACCAGGCCCACCTTCTCCCCAGCCCCCATACCCCGAATCCAGTAAAGACAACAGTAGAAGAGGCTCAAATTCACCACTACACTACAGAGCGCCACTGCTGTATTTTGGGTTCCTTAAAACTTCTCATTTTCAGAATCTACAGGGGGGAGATTCCTAACTGAAGTCCCATGGCTGGAGGGTATTTTAGCTTTATTAAAGAGGAAGGGGGCCGGGTCCTTTTTCAATCACTAGGCCTTTGTCATTTTAAGCCTCTCCAGTTTATTAGAAGTCACCCCTAGTAATGATGGAGTAGAAGGTATTCTTCCCACAAAGAACTCAGCCCTGGAATAAATGATTCCCCTTAGTTCTGTACTCTCTTCTTGCAAACACTGGTCTCTGAACATCTTCAGGGCCCTTTGAGCCTGAGTTGAAGGTGAGAAAACAAAGGTTGCTCCACACAGTCAGGATGTTCCACCTCACCTGTCGTCCGAGGTGTGACGGGCCTTCCTGCCTCGTCTCTGAGACCAGGTGAGAATCCACTGGGTTCTGCACTCAGCCCCTTTTCCAGGTAACACCAACAAACCTGCTGGCAACAATAAAGGCTGCATTGGGCACATGTACCAAAAATAGAGGCTGGCATGGTTCACACTTCTCTTAACGAGACTTTTTATTTTTTATAAGTGTATTTTTCTACTGATCATCCCAGAACACTACTCTTAATTTTACTCTTATTCTGAAACATGCTCAATATATTTATAATGCAGCTTGCTACAAGATATTCTCATGAAATTGCTTTTTTTTTTATCCCCCTCCTGCTTCACATGCCCATCTTTGGTAGCAAGCACAACTTCCTCTTCAGTCCTAAAACATGTTCTTTTACCTCACAGAAAACAGATACGTTTTGCTGCTTGTTAATATGCTTGTAATTGGAAGGGATGGGCTTGAGGTTCCAGCAGATTTGATTTATTTTCACCAGCTACACGTCACATTGGCTATGAGTGTAGCTGTTAGATTGAATTTCCTAACCAGGTGTAGGATCTGTTCAAGAAATGCAGAATCAAAGCCATTAATGTCGAACCCATGGGGGAGAAAATCGTAGCTAAATGTTGATTTACTTACAACTAGACGCCTGTGTGAGAAATGATAATATATGTATTCATATCTAATAAGCAGAAGTCACTTTTATTTATCAGGCTTTATTCTAGTTATAAAGCCACAGTCCTGCCTGTTCTCCAGCAACTGGCTTAAAATAGTAGTAGGTGAATGTCCAGAGTGTATGTTTTTTCTCCCTTCCACTCTGCTGACTCGTATCCATCCATCTGAGCAACTTCTCGGCTTTGTCAGCTGAGAAGCTCCTTAGGCATGTTCAATAGTCTTTGCTTTTGATGCTATTTCAGTTACCAATGCTGTTTCAGTTACCAATGACCTCTTCCCTTTTCTCCTTCTTGTATATTCATTAGTTCATAATCCATCCAGTTGAGCCTCAGAACCCTGATAAGAAAAGCAAGACAAAAAGTCATGACTCCAAAATATTTTTTTCAGAAACACATTTTGAACAACTCTCACTCTTTATATACCAAAAGGGTTCATAAACTCTAGGTTGTAGCTGTTTTTCCTAACAAAAAGTCAGGTTTTTAAATTTCTTTACCTTATTACAGTGAAAAGTGCCATACTTTTAAAGACCTGATTCTTGTTCTCTCTATTTAATCTGTTTTTGTACTTTACTAATTACTGAAGTGTCAGAAAAACGAAACAAAACAAAACTCTTATACCAGTGATTCAGTGATTTTAAGGCATAGGTTAGTTTAGGTAGATGTGCCAAACTCTTTCTCCAGATGCCTTCTCCTTGACCAATTTACAACTAAGATCATGTCAGAGGGATTTCTCTGAATTTAATTTAAGATCTTTATAGGCCTGAGAAGTACAGCAGTCCTTCCTCAGTAAATAAAATAGCAGAGCATCTTATGAATTATGTTGATTGTTTTACACTAGACCTGTCAATAGGGGGAAATTCCATTGAATTAGGTAGAATGATAAGTCTATGAAAATCGAGCTCTTCTGTAGAGTTGGATGGTGGCCTGTCATATACCTAGAGCAAATTCCAGCCAATTTCAGGTGCCCGTGTCACGTGACTCTGGACAGGCCCTTCATCTCTTGGGGCCTCCATTTTTCCAGCTGTAAAGTGAGGGACTTTTAAGTCTATGTAACCACGCTCCCTCTGTGCTCTCAAATGTCCCCTCTGTGACCTACTACCCTTCTACTGGTCTGTCAACGTGTTGGTGCTATCAGCTGCTTCAGATAGAAAATTGGTTTGTCAGTAGGACAGCTCATCTGTAGCTTCTGGAAGGACTTTTCGTTATTCAGCTTTTTTTTTTTCCTCTCCTGGTTTTGTGGACTTGATTACTGTAATGATGTCTTTTTATTAGCCATGTTACTATGAACATATATTCTCTGGATGTCGCAGTAAATTTGCATTTGATATATGATTGATGGGATTTTGTTCTTTTATACCCTCCTGTGGCCCCTCATCTGTCCGGCATCATATTAACTTCAAACACTGTGATCTCTGTTTGGAAATCTGTCCAATGGGAAGAATAAAAGCATTTACTTCACAGCGACTGTGTGTACAAGATTTGAAATCTGTTTCATTCAAAGCCCTGCGGATCTCGTGCCTGAGTCAGTGCCTTCTTGTATATACCCTACTACTGGGGTTTCGCCTGGTCAGATCAGAGACTAATCCTTATCCCCTTTTCTTCCACTTCATTACCACTTGCTGAGAACAGCTGTTCAACGACAGGCTCTGAGGACACTCAAATCATTAAGACCCACACACAGGGCTTATAGATGGGTTTCCACCTAGTGCTCCCTTGTCAAATAAAAAAAATCACTTTGCAGCCCCCTGGAAATCCACCTTCTTTTTTTTTTCTTTTTGGTGTCACATCTGGCAATGCACAGGGATTACTCCTGGCTCTGCACTCAGTAATTACACCTGGTGGTGCTCAGGGGACCATATGGGATGCTGGGAATCGAACCCGGGTCGGCCGCATGCAAGACAAATGCCCTACCCATTGTGCTATCACTCCATCCCGCAATCCACCTTTTTTATGCAAACAGGAAACCCTTCCCAATTGTATCCACAGTTACTACCGACCAACCTGCAGCATCCCAACCCCTCTGAGGGATTGGTATCATCCAGTCAGGTAGGAGTGACAGGTATCAAAATTTCAAAACCCAGCGTGGAGTGCCAGGGGAAGAGCTGGAACTCAGGTGAGAGGAGGGAGGGAGGCAGGGAGAGTGGGAGGGAGGGAGGGAGGGAGGGAGGGAGGGAAGGAAGGAAGGAAGGAAGGAAGGAAGGAAGGAAGGAAGGAAGGGAAGGAAGGATTGGAAGGAAGGGAGGATTGGAAGGGAGGAAGGGGAAGGAAGGAATGAAGGAAGGATTAGAAGGGAGGAGGGAAGGAGGGAGGGAGGGAGGGAGGGAGGGAGGGAGGGAGGGAGGGAGGGAGGGAGGGAGGGAAAAGAAAAAAGGAATGAAGGATTGGAAGGGAGGGAGTGGGAAGGAAGGATTGGAAGGGAGGGAGAAGGAAGGAAAAAGGGATGGATTGGGAGGGAGGGAGGGAAGGAAGGAAGGAAGGAAGGAAGGAAGGAAGGAAGGAAGGAAGGAAGGAAGGAAGGAAGGATGGATTAGAATGGAGGGATGGGGAGGAATGAAAGAAAGGAATTAAAAGGGAGAGGGGAAAGGAAGGAAGGATTGGAAGAGAGGGAGAAGGAAATAATAAAGGATGGATTGGGAGGGAAGAAATGGGAGGGAGGGAAGGAAGGAAGGAAGGAAGGAAGGAAGGAAGGAAGGAAGGAAGGAAGGATTAGAAGGAAGGGAGGGGGACAGAAGGATTGGAAAGAAGGGAGAAGGAAGGAAAGAAGGATGGATTGGGAGGGAAGAGAAGGGAAGGAATGAAGGAAGGAAGGAAGGAAGGAAGGAAGGAAGGAAGAAGGATTGGAAAGGAGAAGGAAGGATTGGAAGGGAGAAGGAAGAAGGAAAGATGGGTTAGAAGGGGAGGAAGGAAAGGAA